GAGTACATATATCCTACTTAGTATTCTTACTAGTGTGCAAGGGAGGAAGGAAGGAAGGAAGGGATGAAGGGAGAGAAGGATGATGGAGAGAGGAGGAGGCAGAAGGCAGGGCAAGGTGGACTAGCCCTATGATGCTCTTCCTACACAGTCAGGATTCCTGCTCAAAGTGGACCTGTCCTTGAATAAATATTCTGCTGTTGCTATCATAATTTTTATTGATTTTATCTTACTACTTATTTTTCATAAATAAATTTCAAGAAGGCAAAGGACTACTGGTATGAACACAGCACATAAATGTAACCTGCAGGTGTACTGCATTTGACCACCTCATGCACATTGAGTTTTCATTCCCATAATCACAGAAGTCCAGTGGGTCAAGGAAATGTGGGAGCTATGAGAGAGTACGATAAAACATGACCATGTTCTAACCACAAATAAGTAAAAAAAAAGGGAGGGTGATGAAACCCAGGGAGGCCACACATTAATGTCCAACCAGAAGTAGATTAAAATACAGAAAGAAGACAGCTTTGTCACTCAAGATACTTCTCTGTGTTAGCCCACCTCTCCAGCTGAGGATGTGAAGGGAAAGGGAAAGCAGGGTGATCCACAGTCACTTTTCTTCCAGTTCTTTCAAACTCATTTACAAATCAGTTGGAGAAACTGTCCACAAGTTATCAAAGTGTAGTAAAAACTATTGCACTGGTTCTGTGTAACACATTCACTGCTTTGGCATTAATGAACACCACATGGATGTGCAAGCTGTACAATATGACTTACTTGTAAGTTTGCATTTAGAATTGATATGGCATACTTAACGATAAATGTTAGAAGTCTTGCTAATAATTTAAAATGCTGTATTAAGAAGGACAATTAAAAGACAGACAAAGTGTACCATGACATGTGAAGAGATCACAGAAGAAAGAAATAGGTTTCTGTGGCATGATGTCAATGGCACAGGTCACCTGCTTTCAGACAGGGAATCTAAGTTTTCATTTTGCATTGGGCCTGACAAATTACACAAGTTGCCCTAAAAATACCAGCAAAAAGGTGCATATTTCATTGGAGAAGGTGCTAAGTCTGTGATCTGGTAAGATAAATTTTAAAATGAGCCTGAACATAGAAGGAGAAAGAGAAGAAAGAGTAGGAGGAGAGTCTCCCCAAGGTGTCCCACATGTGGATGCCTGACAAATGACATAAGAACTAAAGTAAAAGATCCTGAAAGAGTGAAAGCTGAAAAAATATGAGCAATAAAATAAAAACCTTTAACAGTAAAATATAAGTGAAAGCAACAAACTCATATGTATTTAGTGATAAAAAATAATTGACTTCATTGATAAAAAGTGATGAGAACAGACAAATCTTTCATATAGAAGAGTTCAAAACAATACAGCATTATAGCATCCCCTCCTTCATGTGGAGCTTAGTATTCTTGTCTTTTTAGGAGTGGGCAGATTCAGTAACTTAAATGCAATAAATAGTGAAGGAATAAGGGGAAAGTATTACATTCTCAAGCGATGAACCTGGAACAAACTACTACCTTGACAATGGTTGGACTGTAGCACTTCAAATATTACAGTGACCATCAGGTAACCTCATTATGCTGTAGCAACAAGGCATTTCAAATCCATACTATTCCTTCCAAAATTATTTAATCAATTATTTTTACAGGTAACTGACAATGACCATTTTTGCAAGCAGGAAACAAACTATAGGATATTCTCTCCCTTGATGTTGAGTGCCTACCTTTTAGTAATCAAATAGAATAATTATTTTAATTTGTTTTTAATTAACAAATATTTATTGCACATGTTAATGGAAATCGAGCATAATACTTCCAAATGCATGGTACACAGTGATCATATCTAATCATCTATCTTCTGCTTTCATTCCTTGTCTGGCCCTAGCACCCTTCCTACTCTCAAGAAATTACTATTGGGCTTCCATATTACTTTAAAAAAAATCAATACTAGGGTGTAGGTGGCAAACACAGTAATAGAAAAAAGATTTCTGCAGCTACAAACAAGCACTTGCTGGAATGAACTTCTCCCCACATCTCAGAGACCATAAATGTTAACACCTGGCTGAGTCCCCTTTATCTCATTGTACACAATCAGAAAAACAATCTCCAGCTACTGCTTTCACTATGCTGACCTTAATTTTTCCATAAATCATCCAATTGGTTTCAGTTCTCACCACATGAGGACAGGGGTTCCACTGAGATCATCAGAAACCACTAGGGCACCACATCTCAAGGTCCCTCCTTTGTCACCTGTAGTTCACATTTTAGTGGTTTTCAGAACAAGATGTTCTACCTTTATTTTTAAAAATCATCTCTTCCAGAAATCCAAATCATTATATTTCCCTGGTTTTTTTTTAAAGAGAGAGAGAGAGAGAGAATTTTTTAATATTTATTTTTTAATTTTCAGCAGACACAACATCTTTGTATGTGGTGCTGAGGATTGAACCTGGGCCAAATGCATGCCAGGCGAGTGCGCTAACGCTTGAGCCACATCCCCAGCCCATTTTCCTGGTTTTCTATCTGCTTAACTGGATGCCCTCACTCTCTGTCTCCTTCATAGACTTCTTTTCCATTGCTAAATATAGGTGTGTCCCCAGCTTAGAGAAATGTTCCTTTTACTTCTGTATCTTCACCCACATTCAGGATTATGCTAAGTCTTATGGCAGTATTTTCCACATTCCCCTGCCTCCCAAATATCCATTTTCTTCCCAGTCCTCTCCTCTCACCTTCAGACATGTTCATGTGGATATCTAACAGAAATCACAAGCATCAATGCAAAAGCCTTCCTCAAGTTAGCACTCTTTTCCCTGTCTCATGTGGTCTTTGTGCCCCATACAGGATTGGGTATCAGCAAGTAGCCTAGAGTGCTCATGTCAAAAATTCATCAATTATCCTTGGTCTTTTCATCATTACACTCACCTCAATCCATCCCCAAAACCAGCTTATCTTAAAGACAATATTATAAACATATATGTGTGTGTGAGAGAGACAGAGAGATACATATATTCAAAATATGTTTACAATCATATGTATATTAAATACCTATAAAATATATAATTTTAAATACATAAATCAGGTTAAACCACTTTTATTCCTGTTACCAAGTCATGCCATCATGTTATATAATACATATTCTATTGATAATCATATCCATAGGGACAGTTCTGCTAAATGGCCACAAATCCTCGTCATACCAAGAGACTTAAAAGCTGCTTTTGCCAAAAAGCACTGATTATTCACTGATGCCTACAGATACCCAATGGACAACCACAAGTTAAATAACACTTGACATCTCTGAGATATATTTATTCTATTTATTGGCTTATAATAAAAAAGACAAAGAAATGCCTGCAGTATTAGTAAGGACTCCTGAAACATCCCAGGCACAACAGGAGTAGGAAGAAGCCATGACTGAATTGAAACCCTTACCCTACTTCTGAATAAAATTTTGAAAAATAAATATACATAAATGTATATAAATATGTACGTTCACACACACACACACACACACACACACACACACACTGGATGGTGAGTGTAACTCCCTTTCACAGCTGGATGATTAATTTCATACATACAATTAATGAAGATTTGTATGAAAAAAATTAAAAAGCTGCTTGTAAAACAAGTACTGAAGGGCTTTCTAAAATTATTCGTAACCAAGTCAGTCAATAAGTAGGGAGATACTCTGGTGGACGCTGGAAAAAAGTCAAAAGTATAGTTCTGGCGCCACCTGGTGTCTAATAAGGAGTTAGCACGTCTAACAATGGAAAGTACCCATAAGTACAAGTAGGGATGAGACAAGAATTCTTGAAACCTCAATAAGGGGTGGGGAGATGCAAGTGGAGAAGCAAGAAAGGGAGGGCTTCTTAAGGAGGTCTTTATCTCACAGGTAGAAAAGGGTTGGAGCAGGTAAATGACATGGCGAGGGGTGTTTTAGAATAATTGAGAAGGTAAAACGTTCATGGATGATAACCTTAGATCAGATGCATAGAAAGGGTCAGTACTCCAGGTCTCTTTAATGCTTGAATTCTTGGGTCAGACTTCAGGAATAGTAGCCCTCACAAGTATAGGAGTACAGGTTCCTTGCTGTTTTGCCTAGAACAAAGCCTGGCATTGATAATTTTATTTTAACATTCAAGGTGTTATGTTTCCATATATAAAACTAAATGAGGGCTGTGGTTATGCCTAGAGGTAGAATGTTCACCAATTATGTACGAGGCACTGGGTTTGAGCCTCACCACCACATAAAAATAAAATAAAATAAATGTTTAAAAGAAAAAAAACCTAAATGTTAACACTGTCAAAAATAGATTCCCTGCCCCATCCATGCCAAACTTCCTTTTAGAGAATCATGAACCTGGGGCTTGGCCTTACACCAGACCAGTTGGGTGCCAGACCAGTTGGGTGCATGAGCTGATAGCAAAATGCTCTCTCTCATCCTCTTCCAGTCTTCCCACCCATTGTAGCTGGTCCTATCTCTCCCCATGCAGTTCAAGACTCAGTGAGCTGGACAGAGTCTGGGTTTCTCCAGTTTCTCCAACCTGAGCTCCCCTGAGGAACTGCCCCTAGTCTCTGACATTTCACAGCTTGCCAGACTCAGACTGGCCCACATAAACCTAGCTGCAATCTGAAGAAACTGTGTTTCAGCTTCCCCAGCCTTTACTGCAGTACCAAGGTGTCAATGCCATTTCATTTTGCATAAAGACCACAAGACATGCACTTACTCTAAGGAGTGACCCTGCAAAGAGGTATCAAGATGGTGGCCACTAACACACCCAGCACAAAGACCACAGGTGCAACCAGAGCCACAAGTACCCTGCCAATCTATCTCCAGGCCCTGGCCAGTGTCTCCAGACTCAGGTGCCATGCCTCAAGATGGTGGCAGTGTTGGCAGCAAACGTGCAGTCTCCAGTGGGTATCCCAAGATAGCTGTGGTCATGTGTAAACAGATCTATGAGTACTGTGACAATATACTTACAGACATCAGAGGGCAGTGATCCATGATCCACCTGCAGTCTGCAAGCAGTCTCCAGACTAGCATGTGTTGATCCATCAATGAGGGCAAGTGGCAGGTGATGTGCAGGCAATAGGCAGGTAAATGGGCCTTGACAGCGATTTTCCATGTGTCTACTCTGCTTCATTTCTTCTGGTTGAGAACCTTCTACTGCATCTGGAAAAATCCAAACCTGTGTCTAAAGACAAAGCCCCAGGTGACCTGGGCCTGCTTCTCTCAATTACAGTCACCGTCCTCACAGTACTGAGCCAATGTGGCTTTCTTTCAGGCCTTGGAACTCATCTGACTCCTGCCCACCTTAGCTCCTCTGCAAATGCTGTGCCCAG